GGCTGCCAATGCCACACTGCCGTCGCTATGGTTTCTTCATGTTCTCTCGCTCCTCAGGCTTCTGCCAGATCTGTCTTCTGCGGTTAAAAGAGACATTTGGACTTCTAATACCAAAAATAAATGGTAGCACTGGGAGGTCTGCTTGCTGAGCGTGGTTCAGACCAAACCACCAAGCTCTTAAAGGCTCGTGGAAGGGTTCAGGCTCTAAGCCCCAAAAAACAGGCACATTATTTTTCTGGCACAGGGATTTGTTTGCAGGAGTGGAAGGAAGTACCAGCTGCAGGACAGGAGTCTGTAATTCACCTCATTGCCTCAGCTGGGGGAGAGTGTAGTCCCCTCTGCTCTGAGCTGCTCCCAGAAACAATATTTATTGATATTGGCTTAAATATCCCAAGGGATAAAATTACTAGGAAATGTTACAAGGACCATTTGAAACCCGAGAAGAGGATGTCTTTAGTAATGTGGAAAAAGCCAAATACCTTAGAAGATAAATATTCCAGCTTTAAGAATTAATTACTGCTTCCCAGTAATGCAGGCTGACAAATAACATTGTGCAATTTCCTGGACAGATACATTTTAATGGAAATACTGCGTAGTTTCCCCCCCTCTACGCAGCCCCCCGAAGAATCCGACTAGCTCAGAGATAAGGGGCTGTGAGGGGAGGAAAACCAGGAGAGGGATAAATATTCAAAAGAGGCTCTTACCCAGGGTGTTAGTTGGTACAGCTCTCTTTATTCTGTAGTGTCCATGGGAGAGCGGGGCAAAAGAGGAAGAACAGGAAATCTCAGGGGTCTATATAGGTTTTGGACAGGGTGGGCTTTCCTGGCTCTCCGCCAACCCCATTGGGGCAGAAAGGAGGATCCAGGGTTATCTTGATCAGAGTCACAGGGTCCCTGGGAAGGGGGGTACAGGGTGCCCATGAGCTCACTGTAACAATACTGTGCACAGGTCAAGAGCAAAACAGAGTTGCTGAACCACGACCCCACAAGCTTGGGTATGTGGGTGCCTCTGCCCAGAGACTTTGCCCAGCAAAACCCAAAGGACAGAGCATGGGGCTGAAGCAGCCACCTCTATACAGAAGCTCACACCATGAGCTTCTGGTATGGATTGCTCCTAGGGCTGGTTATTTTCTGTCACAAAGGAAAAACGTGGATAGCAAACAACCAAGAACATTTTTCAAAACATCAACTATGACATCCATGAAGTTCTATAATCATTATGCAAAATTCACTACATAGCTTTTCAGCTGTAAACCAAGTATCACAGGGCATTGAAATGAAAGCTCAATCTCTATATCCTAGTTGTTCTTTTGGTAGTGTGGGAAGATAGTATATAGCTGATTATACCCCACAGTACATACTGGCATAATGAGTCACAATATACATTTATTATTCTTTCAGTTAAAAGCATCAAGCATTGAATGTAGTAAAAATATTTCATTAACCAATTCCCTCAAAACCATTTTCAATAAAAAGCCTTTGTTTTCTCCTTCTTTTTATATAGGTGAAATGAGGAGAGTGGTGGAAGAACAAGCCTAAGAATCAATAGGGAAATCTGAATTGTCATTAATTACCCCAAATCCAATCTGAGCTGCTGTTTTGTGAGCCATGCCATACTCATAACAAGGTTTTCAGGGATGTCACTGGAGGTACCTCAGGGACACAACTCTTTGGAGTGTTGCCTGCAGTTTAGTGCAGTGACCCAAAGACAGCATCACCCTCAAAGATATTGCTCCTAGAAGGACAACAGACTTTGGATCCTCACTTCAGGAGGAAATGAAGAGATCCTGCTGCCATACTAATGTGAGTCGCCAGTGCCAAGTCATGTGCCAGGTACAAGTGCCATAAAAGGTCACCTTTTCCTAAAGGACTTTATTTGGAATCTATTCAGACCTTCCATTCACCAAAAGCTAACGAAGTCACACAAGAATAAAATGATCTTACAGGAGATCCATGCACAGGATCCAGATTTGTTTCCAGTCATCCATCCATCCATTCGTCCGTCCATATCGCAATTACTTTTGCTCCATGTCTGAAGCTTGAACCAAACTCTTGCCCATGGTTTGAACACAGTCCTTGTTCACATCTGCCTTGTCCACAATCCTTCATACAAACAAACCACAGAATATAATATATATTAATATAATAATATATAATATAATGCTGCATGAAGCTGCAGCATTGACTGTTTCCTGTGCTGAGAGGCAAGCCCCCATCAAGAGACAGTGAGGAAAAAGCCTGGGTCCAGGTGCTCAAGTGGGCCAGAAAATAAAAGGGACATCCATAAAGCATCCCTATCTCTGTCTAGGGATGTGCAGCTCCTGAGTTGAAGTGCACAGAATAGGTTGATGGCAGCTGCTGTTTTAAAATTCATGAAGCCTTAAAGCATTACTGGATGATTTCAGAGCTTGGAGATAAGTAGACAAAATAGTCCAACAGGGGGGAGATGGGAGATGCTGCTGTAGTAGCAGCCATAATAGTGTGTGATCACACACATCCCTGCTTCTGAAAACCCACTCATCCATCTTGTCAGAGAAAATTGCTGTGATTCTGTTTCATAGCGGAGGTGGTGGGAGGAAAGAGGCAGATGCATATTTTCCTCTGGTCAAGGAGAAAAGGCCAGGCTATGCACCATTTACCCTTCTGAAGCCACCCTGCCCCCTTTGTGAAGGGCTTACAGACTGGGGATGGCAAGTATTCAGTAGGGAAGGCAGAAGTTGCCATGGCCAGGAGAAACAAGGCTTTGGAGCTGCTCTGCTAGTACTTGCGAGATGCTTTGCCCTCCCTGCCCTGGAGTGCCCCCCTTTGCTCACTCAGGACTGAAGAAAATGCTGGGGTAAAATGTGTTGGGAGCCAGCAGGTTCTTCCTGTGCTTTACCTGTCAGCTCAAGGTTGAAAATTTGTGGGTGAGAGTAGATCTGTGCCAGCCAGGGGATGTTCAGACAAACAGCATAAACGCCTAATTTATGTACCTCTACCCAAAAGCGCTACCCAGAGTGGGCCAAAGCAACTGCTGCCTTAAGTTGGAAGCCTTATCAGAGCAGCCCTCCCCCCTGCCATCGCAGGCTCTAATCATCCAGATTCCCCATCACATCCCTGAGGGGCTCATCCTACTCCTGAGATGTGGCTGAAGCAGCATGAGAAGCACAGGGTGGAGACAGGAGGTTTTGCACTTTTGACCAGAGCATGGATGCCTATGTAACAAGAGCTATCTCTAGCTTTTTCACATAAGAGAGAGAGAGATGGGGAAAATTACTGCATTTATCCCCCTGCTCCTGCCCATCCCTGCCCCTCGAATGTTCACTGGTTCCTGCACAAACTCTTCCCCTGTACCTGAGTGGAGACCCAAGCTCCTGGGCAGGAGTCTTTGCCAGGGGCAGTGGGAGGTGCCTTAGTCAGTGCCTAATGTGATTTTTCACCTTGCCATTGAGGACCATGGTGAGATGCAGACTTGTTCCAATAACATTACCTGCCCCTTTAGCATGTTTTGTACCACGTGTACACTGAATATCTTTAGCAACTACTTGGTGAAACTCTGTACTGGATGCATGAGTAGGAAATAATTTCCAAAGACAAAAGCTGCAGTTTAAAAAACAACTGAAACTCTACCAGAGTGGTATTTTATCTTGAAAACAATTTGCTTTCTGGTTTCAAGATGGTGAAATGTTTCACAAATATCCAACTTGTGATTTTTCAATTCCTCTTCAAATTTCCCCATGGACACATGGTCCACATGGCGAGTTCAAGGCTGCCAGGGACACGTCATTCTCAGCAACCCCCTCATCCTGCTCCCCTCAAGCTCAGAGTCCGTGGCCTGGCAGAGCAACTCTCACAGTGAAGAAATATTTAATGTGTGTTAAGTATTGTATAAATATGTTTAAATAGTACTTTGGTTTGTCCAGGCTGTGGACATGAAGTAGCTCCAAGAGTTTTGGACCCAGCTTGCAGTCCCAGTTTCAGTCTGTTCCTGCAGGTCTGGGTATCCCTCACCTGTGCCCTTTGGCAGGGCAGCACAGGGCCTTCAGGGAGGAGACAGAGAGGTGACATGCCTGAAGGACTGTAGAGGTGCAGGACTGAAGAGGTGCACGGAGCCCTGGGTGGGCAATAGTGCTGCTGGCACCCCACACCCCTGCCCAGGGCTCACACAGGCCTCTGGTGCTTCTGTGCAGAGCATTGTCTTTAACTTGCTCAGTCCCCCTTCCCTCTATTACCACCATCAGGAAGACTCAGGTGCAGATAAAGAGTGAAGGTGGCCCAGGAAGCTTCAAGGCCCAGGGATCAGAAACAACAGGGACTGCCCACTAACCGCAAGGCACAGCACCTACCTGCCTTTCCTAACACAAGGAAAGAAGGAAGTTGGCTTTTGACTTATCTATGATATTTTAGAAAATAAAACCTTACTGGACTTGCACTTGAGTGAGAACAGGAAGTTTCCCTTGCACAGATTAATCCATTTCCACACTTTCTACTCAGCATGGAGTAGTTTTATTTCTCACGTACATAATTTAGAGGTATACTGGAAGGGCAAAACCTAAATTCCATGCTCAGACATCCAGCAAGCAGTTAACAAAACCCATTCTAGAATGGTTTAGACTTTATGTGATATAAAAGTAAACCTGTTTCCAATAGCTACAAAATTACTCTTGGGAAGATAAAGGTGTGATTCCTTTTAAATGTAGCTATTTTCTGTCCAGGATAAAAGTCCTACGCATCAGTCCTTCCTATCACACATCTCCAGAGAAAGCAACAGCCAACCCCCACACGCCTCTGATGTGGATTGCTCAGCACTTAGTTCCACAGCAATTTTTAGGAGAAACTCAACCCTCCTGTTAAATGCTTGGGGCTCAAATGATTAATTCTGTAGAACAGATCTCTAAGGCACATCAGAAATTGGAGCTCATTCCTAACAGTCTATCAGCATTCAGGCTATTACAGGTGGTGCAAACAAAACACCAGCTTTGAGGGAGGAAGCAGTTCTGTTATAACCAGAATTCTTACAGATACTTTTATATTTTCATGTTTAATAGAGCTTTTTTTTATCTCCTACAAAGTTTTCCACCAAGGGCTTTCCAAGCATTGTATAAAGGCAGGTAATGATTTACATCATTAACACTCCCATTTTACAAACAGGAAATTGAAGCCTCCAAAGAAAATAATGAGTAGCTTAATACAGAAAATCCCAGTCCCCCCAAAAAGAAATGGAATCAAAGCCTCATGGCAGAAGTCCCCTTTCCAACTACCTCTATTTAGCTGCTATGCAGCTTTTTTATTTTCCTTTCTTTTTTTTTAATAACTCAACCAGTCAAATGAGAGAACAGCAAGGAAATTGCAAGCTTTGACATACTTACTTCTACACTCCTGGCATTAGTACAAAAATAAAGATTTTTATTAACTAGTTTACAAAAATAAATTCTATTGAGTCCCAGAGGATGTCATTGGGTAGTTTACTTGACTTTGGAAGATAAAGCCTGTTTGAAACGTCTCTTTAGATCTTGCATGTTGGGAGATTTGGGCCGAGGGATGATGGATGACCGCCTCCTGTCCGTGCTGCCGGCAAGCTGTAGTTTGCTGACCTCCTTGCAAAGATACTGGAAGACATCACAGACACCTTGGGAGTCCTCACTGGTGGAGATTTCCAAGAACAGGCTGCCCAGTTCATCTGCCAGCTGTAGTCCCTCTTTTGTCTGTACTTGCCTGGCATGGAGGAGATCTGCTTTGTTCCCCACAATAATAATGGGAGTCCTGGCATCGGGGTGCACCTTGCGTATGTGCTGGTAGAGAGGCTGGACTGACTGGTAGCTGCTGTAGTCTGTGATGGAGTAGACCAGCAGGAAGCCCTCTGCCCACTTCACACACCTGGATAGGGAGTCCAGCACCTGCACACAGTCTTCCTGCACCTGCGGTACAACAGAGAGCACAGATTCGGCACTGGGTCATGAAAGTATAAAGGCTGTATCACAGCACCATCAAACGGGTCCAAAGGGAAGCTCGAGCTCTGTCTCAGGAGATGAAGCCTGGGCATGCAAGAAATTTGGGCTCAAAAGCTGAGCTGATCCAAAATATCTGCGTACCTGAATGCACCCCGGCGTGTCTTGGATCTGTACGGCAACGTGGTCCCCGTCCAGATGGACCAGGCGGGAGTAGAGGTTGCCTGGGGAGCAGAGAGCCGTGAGCCGCGGGACGCGGGGCCCGCCGCGCCCGTCCCCTTCGCGCCCCGCCCCGCCTCACCTGTGTTGGGCTCGTAGTCGCCGATGAAGCGCTTGGTCAGGAACCGCACGATCATGGCTGAAACACAGAGCGCCGCGTTAGGCAGGACGGGCGGGCGGGCGGGCGGGCAGGGGAGGAGGACGGGCAGGAGAGGAGGACGGGCAGGGGAGGAGGACGGGCAGGGGAGGAGGACGGGCAGGGGAGGAGGACGGGCAGCCCCGCACTCACCGCTCTTGCCGACGCCGCGGGCACCCAGCACGGCCAGGCGGACCTGGGCGCCGGGCGGCCCCGGGGGGCACTCGGCGATGGGCGCCAGCAGGAAGGGCTGGGACATGCCGGGCAGGCGCATGGGAGAGGCGGCTCGGCAGCCGGAGGGCCCGCACGGCTCCGCTCGGCTCGGCCGGCAGCGCCTGGAGCGCCCGGCCCCGGCGGCTTTTAAAGCCCCGGCGGCGGCCCCGCCCGTGGGGCCGCCCCGCTCCCGCCGCACCGCCCCGCGGCCGTCCAGCCCGCTCCGCCCCACTTGCCCACCGGGCTGCGCCCCTTCCTCTTCTCCCACCCTCCCGCGCCCCGGCGGGCACAGGCACCAGGGGTCTGGCGGGCAGCCTGGGCACGCCATGCAACCCAGCAAAGGGTAAGCACCCTGCTGGCATCCCTCCGCCCGAGGCAGACGGGCAAATGCACCACCCTCCCTGCAGTGACGGACTCCAGTCTTGAAAGAAAGGAAATTATTATTTTACCTCAGACTATTTTGTTTCCCACACTCGAACATATCCCTCTACAGCCAGTGTTGAAAACCCAGCTTGTGGATCAAACAGCCAACCCTGAAACCTAAGTGGTCTTGATTTGGTCCTTTGGGTTTTTGAAGTTTTGGAGAAGAATGGTGCTCCACCATGGGCTGCCTTTAAATGAGCCTCAGACCTGCAAGCACCTGTGTGGATGTTTCAGTCTCTAGAAACCATTGCCCCAGCTCCTGCTTCTGCTCTGCACTGCCTGCAACTGTTTAATTGCTTAAAAGATAAATAATCTGTTCAGAGGCTGCTTTAATTTTTATCAGGGAGATAGCACATGCCAGCAAGACACAACAAGGAGGAGGATAGTGAGTGGATGGTACTCGAATGGACTGATCTCATGGCACAGAGGGATGGAGCCACCATGAGACCTGCTGGGTCCTGGATGTAGGTTGATGCTTAGACAGCCTGACTGACCCTGGGTGCTCACACACAGGCAACTGCGTTAAGACAATACTAATTAACATCAGTTAAAGCAGTACCTGCAGAAAAGCATGGTGGAAGAAGCACTGTTGGTTATTTGTGCTACCCTAGTGCCTAAGAACCCCTATGGGGTTCTAAAACCTATCGCCCTTAAAGTTTCTACTTTACTCCCTATCATGCCAGAGAGCTCTTTTCTTTGGGGAAAGAAGATTTCTCTTGTATCACTACAAGCTTTTGGTTTCCAGAAGCTCCTGCTATTATCACCTGCTCCTATTGTCAGGCCATTGCTTGTCTTTAGCCTCAGTCACAGTGTCAGCAGCAGCTATTTTTATAAACTTCTTGACAAAAGAGCTATCAGAGTACATTCAGTGTGCCTCTGAAAGAATGCTACTGAAACAAGTCTGTTCCAGGCAGATGATTCCCAGGCACTGAGCTGTGAAAGCAGATTAAACCATCATCCTTCCCAAACCTTGAGGAGCTGCTTCTTTCTGGGCAGCTGTACGACTCGAGCTGCCTTGCCTCGTGCTGCTGGGAGCACCTACAAAGGGCAAATGAAGGTGGTCAAGATAACGTCTCTTAAGCCCAGGTAGGACACCCTGTGAAGGAATTAATGTCCAGGGTGTGATGAACTATGCCTCCATCAACACCTACCCAGGTGCAAAAGGAGCAGCTCAGTAAATTAAAGCAGTTGGGGCCCATGTCAGCTGTCCCTATTCTGCAGACTAAGGACCCCTGGGATGTGTGGCACTCCAGGCTATTCCAAGGGGCCCCTGTAGGCCCCACTTGGAAGTGCCAGGCTGTACTTTTCACCCACCCTCTGTGGATGGCCTATGCCACTAACCCTATGGCCCATCACTATCCCCTTTCCCTCAGCAGCACTGCTCAGTGCCAGGTACAGCACACTGCTGCTTGACACATCTCCCAGGTCCAAGCTCTGGCAACATCCAACAGCAGTACTTTTGGGGAGAGAGTAGGTGGCTTGCTCCTGTGACAGTGGCATGGAGGACATCCTAAGAACATGTGGAGCTTCTTTTTTTTATTTTTCTGTGTTCCTAAGCTGTATGGGTGCTGCTGGTGGGAGCAATGTTCCTACCCCGTGCAGCCTCTGTACTGACAATGGCTCTCCCTCCCCCTTCCCAGTCCTGCCTTTTCACTGACCTTCCCTGCCTAACACTGCCATAGAGTACTCAAGAAACCTCAAATCCTGGTGTTGCCAATAGGCTAAAAAAGATGAAGCTGACAGCTCAGAAGGCGGCTTCCTTGCTGCTTCTCTAGGAGACAACAGATTTTGCCAGGGCTTTTGTCAGGGAACCAGTGGTAAATGTTTGTGGCTGTAAAGGAGCCTCTCAACGGGACTGCAGAGAACTGGTTACAGCTCATGGGTTTAGTGTGTAAAACCCCTTCCAGGGCAAGTCAAAACTGGTGACTCCAAACCCTGTAAGGAACGTGCTTCATGTTTCAGCTCAGGACTGGAGATTCCCCAACAGGCAGTTCTTCAGCTTTTCCCAATTCACAGATCTCCCTCTTTCGTCAGGATTGTGCAAAAACAGGGCAGCCAAACACACAGGAAGGAAACTTCAGCAGCAGGTACCGAGATCTGTTAAGTGTCTGGGCTGTGTTTCTGCAAACTTCAGATAAGCATGAAAACCCCCACTGCACCGAGTGCAACAAACAGGCTACACCTTAATTTATTTGTCCTGTTTCCAAACATTAAAAACAAACAAACAAGGTTATTTTCTTCCTGTACAAACCCAGCTTCATTTTCAGTCCTTTCTGGGAATCCTGACCAAGAAAGCCTTCCCAACCTCTCTTCCCAGACCACGCAGGCCTTCCAAATATGCATTTACAACCAACTACTGCTGGCATAGTGACCTTAAAGACTTTTTCTAAATAAATTGAAAAGTTTTGCAATGCAGTGTCCCTGGGAGCACAGCTCTTAAACAAGACCACTGTAGTGCTGTCCAGTCTTATTACTCCAATTTGTTGAAAATAAGTTGAAAAGTTTAGAACTATGTCCTACTTATAATGTTAATCATTTCACCACGCTGCTACAGCTAATCCGCCGTGATTTTGATAAATGAGTACTAACCAAACACAGAACCGAAATAGCTTAGACATGCATGCATGAGAAGCAAATTTAAACTGCCATCACCAGTTTGTATCCAATAGCCTCCCACTTAATTCCTACAAAGCCTAGTGGAAAATGATGCTTATCTTGTATGGCAAATACCACTTTTAAATGGCTGTGGAAACTGACAAGCCAAAGAGGTTGATAAAGCACACAAATCTCACTGCTCCAAGCCCCTTGACCATGAAAGCCAAGTGCATACAGTGTAACAGTGAGGGCTTCAGGACACAGTGGCTCACTCCCACGTCCAACACCTCCAGTGTCAGAATACAGCACTACTGTCATGGAGCAACCTGCTAAGGGGCAAGCTCTTTCAAGTCACTTCTAAAGTCATTCCACCTCTACAGCCTGCTGCATCTTCCGAGATGGGAACTTGGAGAACTTCAAACATAGCAATCTGCTCACCGGAACTTGGAAACTCCAGCCCATCGCCCTTAAATACCAGCCCAAGCCAGACTCTGAATTCAAGGTCCAAAACCTACATTCCAAGAGAATGGGAACACCCACAGTTAGGTAAAAGCAAACCTCATCATCTCTCTGTTCCTTACTCCCACACTTACAAGCTGCTCTGCAATTCACTTCTCAGTAACTCTCAACAGTGAACACCTACAAACAGCTTGAGGTCACTTGCTTCTCTAGTACTTCTCTCCTCTACATGTAGACATTAGTTTTACATCACTTACTGAAGGTAGCTGAACAATGCCTGACATGACACTTCAAGGTAAACTATTATTTATCTGTAACCACAAAACAAGCCTGAGACTGTGCGTTTTCAAGGCTAACCAAGCAGATTCCCTTCAGCAGTCTCTAGCAAGCTTCATGCTGTTTCAAGCAAAGCTCACTGGTTGGTAAACAGTCAGCTGAAGATCTTCGTCTGTTTAAAAACTGTACAGGTAGCACTGGGCATTTCTGAGACATCAGAAAATCTGGGATGAGAGGAAGTCACTGCAACATTCAACAGGCATGCAATAAATGTACAAAATACAAGTGTTTCGTAGCTATACCAGCCAATTAAAGTGTTAAAATCAAAACAAAGGCTGGCAGTTTTGGAATGAAACACGTTTCTAAACTACTACTATTGTGTAAGAATGCTTATTGGCATGGAGATGCTGTAAACATTATTTTGCAGGTTACAATGGTGAAGACCAAAATTTGCCTACAGACATTGTAGGTTGTTTTTAAAAATGGTTTTAACAATTCCTCAGTATTCATGAGGCCCCTTAGCCAAAACCTTGCATCAATGAAATCTGAAGCACCGTATCTCTTTTCCTACAAAAAAAAAAAAAAATCAAGCCTTTAAGTGGCACTGGGCAGTTCTTGACACAAGTTTTTAATCTGCTGATGAAACATTCCATGTTCCCTCGTAATAGCTCATGATCATTACTAAGCACTACCAAATTTCAGTGTTCCCAGCATTTATCACCTACATAAATGACAAAACTCGTCAGCAAAAGCTGCAGATGATTTAAATGACTAAGCATCATGGTAAATGCAAGCTAAATAAATAAACTTCAATAAAAGAAGGTTTCTAAAGCATCTGTTAAAAATAAAAGCCCCAAACCCAACTAAATGAATCAGCCACAATCACATACACTTGTCCAAAACCATATCTTTAGTTTATTTTTTAAACATACATTATGCCATGAATTCATAAGGAATTGGCTCCAGCAGCTCAGGATCCTTGCCATTAGTTCTCACAAAGTGTGCTTCTCTTGGTGGAGCAGGCTGTAAACAGAAAAACAGAAGATGGAAACTCATGATATTACAGCTCAAAAGCAGCTTCTCAAAAAAATAACATTTTGTCAACCACTTAGCGCCTTATTATGTAAACATTACAGCAATTTTACCATCCCTTGTCTCATAAATTTGATTCAAGGAGTAGTAGTAAGAAACAATCTGCCAAAACAAAGTGTGCCTGACTCTACTGCCACTGAATTAAAAAACCTATGCTCTGGACTCTGTAGCTCACCAATCCAATGAACATGGAGTGATGTATCCTGCAGTTCCAGAAGCAATAGCCATTACCTCTTCTCTGAAGTCTGGCTGTTAATTCTTTCCTTCAAGAGTTACAATAG